CAGGACACAACGGGCACCGCTAGCACCCGTTACTGGGAGTACCGGGACTCCTAGTGCAACCGTTTCACGCACCTAGCAAGGGGTGATTCCAGCTCTTACCCTGTCTCTGCTCATTACCCTTATCCTCTCTGCAAATTTCTCTTTTAAACAATAGACATTATTTGACTGCATGCTTCCAAAGAAATAGCCACAATTAAAAGATGTTTTCCTTACAATGAAAGTATGAATCAGGCACCAACCAAATCCTTCAGACCACTACATAGACCCAGATTTTTCTGAAGAATTTATTTAGCCCCTGATTTTCACAACAACTTAATATATGTAACAGTGTGAGGTTGCATTGTCTGTAAATGTTTACAAGTGAAAATGGCTGAGATATTGCAAAGATAAAAACATTATTATTGTTGTTATTATTATTACTTATGTAGGGCTGATTGGTTGCTCTGTTAACAAGAAGTTCAATTTGAAGCATTTATCATTGCGTACCTGTCAGTCCCATTTTTCTCCCAAGGCTGCCTAAGCTATCACAAGCTGCAGGATGAAATCCTCCTTAGGAGTTTTAAATATTAGGCTATAATACAACATGTGTGATACAGTAATATTCTGTTGCATTAATTTACTGTTTAAAGTGGATTTTTGTGTTAGTTGGCATAAAATGTGATTTAGTATTTAATTAATGCTGCTTCAGTCAAGCTAAATATGCCACCGGAGCAGCACCGTTCATAAAAATATTTGCAAATGGTTTATATTTTCGCTTTACTTATAAGATTCCTCTATTTAATTGTTCTCAATCCTTACAAGAAAAACAGAAATGAACAAACAAAAATAAATGAACTGCTCATTCTACTCTGCATCCATCTTCCTGCATCCACTGCAGCAGGACATGAAAAGGGAGCTGTGCTTCACAGGGACACCCCGCACAATGCTGCCGCAGCGCCTTCAATTCTGAATTCTTCACGGGAAGAAAATGAATCTTTGTTTCTTCAAGAACGTGCCAAAGTGCAGACATAATTAGAAATAAGATTTTTGTTTGTTTGATTGCTGAACTTTGGAATATCTTAAAAAATCTATTCGTTCAACACAAAGGTAGATTAAAGTATCCAAAGCAACAAGTCAGGTGTGGCTCTACGTAATACATAATGTTTCTTCTATTTAAGACTTAACTGCAACCTACAGTTAACTGTTTTACACTTGTCACCACGGTACCACCACACAGCCCTTTGAAAGAGTGACTCCTAAAACGCGCCTGCCTCTGAGACCACGACTGCTGTGCCACGCTGGCCAGTTCTGCAGTAATTCTGGGAAATTCGGACGGCGTTAACCGGCCGTCATCGTCAGCAGGCACTTCTGTGCCACCCACGTAGCTCACCCTGAGCTGCTTGCCCGGCCCGGCACCCACGGCCTGGCCATGCCGCCGCCTGCGAGGTGGCACCCAGCAGGGCTAGGCCGGGCAGGCTACACACAGGGCTCTTCCCCTCCCTCTCTCTCGTTTTGCTTCTTCTTACAAGCACTAAAATCCCACTGCGTTTTTTTTTATTTATTTACTGTATTTGCCTCACGTTGGTTGGTTTGTCTTGTTCTAAAACTTGTTCAGTATTCGAGCGGGATCTAACCATTTCCTGCTTTGCGGATGTGTTTAAAAAAGAGCAAAAAAAAAAAAGGCAAATGACAATTTCCAACAGCCTTCTGAGGAAGTTTATATTCTCTCTTTTCCAGGGAGCCTTTACTTTCCATGGAAGCATGATAGACATGCCATTACTGAAGCAGGCACAGAACATTGTTACGCTTGCCACAGCCATCAAGAAAAAATGATCTGGTAAATGAAGCTCTCACCATGTGGCCACAGTAGCTGTTTTAAGAGATGACTATACTTGTGGGAGAGGGGAGAAAAAAATTAAATACATCAGGCTTAAACAGAAATCCATTTACATTTTGCAGATCTGTCATAATTACTTGCCAGAATTGCTAATTACTAAAACTATTTGAGGTTGAAACCACAGCTCACTCCTGTACTCATGGCCCACGGCCTCACGGCCTGTAATAAAGTCACGTCACTGACTTCGCATTAACTACTATACATGCAGGATTATGACTCCTCTTTAAGAGTAAGAGCAAAATATGTGAGCTCTGTTAAAATCACAACCTAAAATGCGGTCAAATCACTTCTGGCTTTATCTGTGCTTTTTCCCGCTCTCGTGTGGAAGCACCACCAGAAAGGGCAAAGTCTTGAATAATTATCGACCAGCTTAAATAACTGTGATGAAAATCATTACCCCATGTGGACCCCTCTTCCTCACTCCCCCCTTTCTGTAGATGTGCAACAGCCATTAAAAATATTGCTCCAACAATGCGAGACTCTTGACTTTTCCTTAAGTGGTTGCTATTCAGGCCATTTCCTCCTGGAAACGTGGAGCCGGGGAAGGGTTGGACGGCAATAAACTTGTAGTTTTCGGAGGCACAATGCAGCAGAACTTGTGCATATGGTCTCGAGTCAGATTTACATCACATTAGGGATACGGCTACAGGTCATGTGGGCCGTGTGGTTAACGGGCTTAGTAAAGCTGTTTTGAAGAGGTTAACCCAGCTTGTAGTAAGGGTAAATAAACATAACAACCAGGCATTGTCCTCTATTCAGCATGTACTCTTATATGGAGGGCTAAAGGGTATTGAAGCTGCAGAGGATCAACTTGTGGTTGCCAGAGGACTCCAATGAAGTTTGAAACACCAACAATCAGAGATTTTGTTTCTGTTCCTCATTAAATCATGAGCTTTTGTGCTCAGACTATGAACGACTGTTCTTTAAGAAATTAACAGAATGGGAAGTTTTAAACTATGCACCAACCTTTTCATGACCTACACAGCAGCAACGCTGCTGCACTTAGACAAACACCGCGGGGAAGGCTGTTCTGTTTATTTAAATTTGTAAATAGAAAACAGTTGTTTTTTAGTTTCATTTTTCACCGCCTCCAATGGCCATTTTACATACAGAGTCACAGCGCCTTATTCCTCCCATCTGCTCGCTTATTCTGCTTCCCCTCCACCTCCCCCGAGCAGCGTTTTTAAACATTTTTGTTATTTTTGATTTAATTAAAAGGTGGGGGGGT